CACACCATCAACAGCATGATTCTTTAAAGATGATGCTACGAGAGAGTCAGGCTGCCAGGAGGAAAAGGACTTACCTTCCACTTGCGTGTAGGGCTTCCACTTGTAGTGCCACCCTCTGAACGCTTTACTGTTGTACTCGGCACATTGGGTGGCGCGGAAGTCCACACTGTTCTGCGGACATATCTGCCTGTTGCAAAGCTTCAAAGAGTGAGTAGAGCCCTCACAAAATTTCCCTCCATGAGATGGTCTGGAATGTACATTGGGCAGTTAGAACCGCTACATGGTAGTAGCTATTCATGCCATTTTGGAAATTACACTTTTTGGAATGGGGGTGACAGTTCTAAATTAGTTAGAGTGACCAATTCAGTAACGTGCACCTCTAAGAAGTCATGCATCAATAGAGTGTTAATAGAGTGGACAGCATTTTCATTTTCCACCTAGTGTATTATTTCCTGGCACTTGGAAGGTGGTCTTGAGTGAATTAATCCTCTGATGCCTCCCACCCCACAGGAGGTGTGCATCTTTCCCCATGTGTCAGAGGAAGGGAGGTGCTGACTTTCCCAGAACAAAACAGTTGCCAGAAAGCATCTTCTACCCACTGCCATCCTCCTGTGACAAGAGCCCAAGAGCAAGATCAAGTGAGAAGAGCAGGTTATTTTTGCTGGTTGGCAATGACACCAAACGCTACCTACAACCTCTAGTAGGTGTTCATTATATCCCAGGACTGGAGTATCACTGAACAAAGGTGTAGAGCAAGGGTTACCCATCCTGAGCTTTCTCTCGCCTTTCAGACACAGGATGACAATCATCATTGATTTTATTGTTGATAGGTGCCTTCGAGCCATGTCCGACCCACAGCGGCCCCATTCATAACAGAAGGAAACATTTCCTGGTCCTAAACCATCCTCATCATAAATATTAGTGTAAAGGGGTGATCAAAACACAAAAACAACAATACTCACTCCACTACACCGATGTTGGCTTTAGCATCCTTCTAATTCAGACCACAATGTAAAAAGAATTATATTTGAAGGACACATTGTTCTCATTGATTCATAATAAACTGTGTCCTGTATTTTCCATGATTGAATATTAGTACTGGTTCTTGTTATGGATGGTATACGTATTCCTATACCCATTAAAATGCTTCTACGTACAACGTTCGGTGATAGGGGCTGCATTCTCAGCCTCCTTTTGAAAACAGCTCTTCTCCATTTGCACAAACTCACTGCCACCTGAGGGCCCCATCGAATCTTCTCCCCGGTTGTTGCCAGTTTGATCTCATGTAGATAGCTCTCAAAATAGCACAAAGGCCAAGACAAACATAGTTTATTAATTAAACTAAATGATTGTGTGGTTTAGAGAAGATTTTGGGAGTTTTTGTTTTTTGTTTTGTTACGGTTTAAGATTATCTCAGGAGAATAATTTCAGTGCTCCATGCCCTTGAATCCAAAAAGTATGAATTCCATAAGAATTTTAAATTCTTCCCTACATTTCCTTCCTTTTGAATCGGGGTTCTTCTAGAAGATCTTTGATCACAGTGCTTAGCCAGAAACCAAGTCGTTCTTCTGGTGTCTCAGGTAAGGAGAGTACTGTTTCATTTTTAAGGTAGATCCTGGGCATTTCAAGTGAATCTGATTGAAATCTAATCCTTGAGAATCACTGTGAGGTCTGCCAAATCTTTGCTGTGTTAAGTAGTTGTAAGCATTTAACCTTATATGGTAGAGATATAAACTTAGAGAAGTTTGAGTGAAATAGCATCCCATTACTGTTTCTACAAAAACGTTTAAAATCCAGAACTCCTCTGACCCGGGGTAGGTGCAGGCACCTTTGTGAACAGGAGAGTTGTACTTACTGGGGGGCTGTGCAACTGCGGTCTCTTCGGGAGACCCCTCCTCCACAGGTCCTGGAGCAAGAAGACCAAGGGGACCAGTCCGACCAATGGCCATGGGTGGGCTGGGGACCTTTGTCACCATATTTCACACACTGCCCTCCTCTGCACCACTAAGTAGTAAAAGAAGAAGAAGAAGAATGTTTCATAAGGGAGCTTAAGCACCATCAGAAACACAGAGAGCAGACTGAGGTTGTGGAAGGTTTCATTGCAATTGGATTCACAATTGATGCTCATGGGAGAAGAAACCAAGAAATCAAACATTGTATTTCATTGGGAAAATCTACTGCAAAGACTTCTTTAAAGTGTTCAAAAAACAAAAACAAAGATGGAGTCAGGGGCACTTGATTCAGGATATGATATTTTCAATCCCCTCCTATTCTTAATAAACAGACAGAAAAACTGAAAAGAGAATAGATGCCATGGAGTTATGGCGTGGGTAAAAAATAATAAATACAGGGAGGAAAAGCGAGTCTGTCTGCAAAGTGTATTAGAGCTTCGATTCTGAGCATAAGTCTGCAGAAGGCCATGCTTTACAGTGGAAGCCCTACATGCCTTTTTTCATCTCAGGGGGTACACCAAAAAATCAGATTGCTTTTCAAAGCTATGTATTTAAATGTGTTTACAAAACAACCTTATCACCTTCAAAGTACTTTCCATTACACTTAATACAATTGTCAAATCTG